TGTTACCTGTTGTCCAACATTTACCAAACATTAGTGTTCTTAAGTATTAGCTAGGGTATTCATTCAGGATTAAATGCCCCTCCCAGCTCTGCTGACTCAGGTCACTCAGAGTGTGTGCTTTTCACAAACTGGTGGCCTGGGAATGATTTCTAACCATTCTGTTCCTTCTGCTATTGTAAAAAAACAAAAACAAAAGAAACTAATTTGTGTTTTTTTTTTTTTTTCTCTGCTTGAGTTGGGAGAATACCAGCCTAGTACAACAGTTATCTATGTAGTTATAAATAAGTAAGTGCATACAGTTGGTCATCTCTGGGCTCTGCATCTGCAGATTTAGTTACAACCACAGGTCTAAAAATGTTTGAAAAAATAAAAAACAACACAACAATAAAAATCATACCAATAAAAACAATGTGGTATAACAACTATTTACAGTTACAATGTCCTAGATAGTATAAGTAATCTAGAGATGATTTAAAGTATATGGGAAGATGTGCATAGGTTATAGGCACATTTTATATCCATTTTATATCAGGGACTTGAGCATCCCTGGATTTTGGCACCTGAGGGGGTCTTGGAGCCGATGCCCTGGGGATGCCAAGGAACAACTGTAAATAAATAAATAAGTAAAGGTACAAAGGCTTTCCATTTCCCAGATCCCGTGAACAAGCCAACAAAGGGCTGTGATCATAATTAAATAACTTACTTGCATGTACATGTGCTACAGACAGAGTATTCAGACCTTTTCTCCTACCCAGGTCCATGCGGGGTTCATCCAGATGTATTAGTTCATGTAGTTATTTGTTTCAAGATTCTGTGTTTATTAAATATTTATTGAACCTACTTTATGCCAGGAAGCATCTTAGGCATTAGAGAAACAAAGATGAATCATCTCCTCTACCTGATAAAGACATTGTGGTCCAGCGCAAGGGTCAATAAGCTAGGGCCCCAGAGGTGCCTCCTGTTTCTGTAAATACACTTTTATTGTATTTACACACAGCCACACCCACTCATTCACACATCTTCTGTGTCTGTTTTTGAGCTAAAACTGCAGAGATGAGTAGTTGGGACATAGACCACAAAAGGAAATGTCTGCTCCCTGGCCCCATAACAAAAAGTTTGCTGATCCCAGCCTCATGGGTTAGGCAGGGGCATGGGCAATTAAATTCTCCAAGGGAAGCCTGAGTAAAGGGTCTTGAAAACACCAAAAGTAAGGATTATGATGGTACATGGATCTGAAGGGGCTGCACTGCGAGGGTGCTCCTCCAGCTGGGCCTGAGAGATGCATGAGAAATCTGGCAGGGAAGAGAGAGAGTCACATGGGCAAAGTCAGCGATTCTGATGAGGCTGAGAGTGCTTGGCTGTGGCACGTGTTGGTGACAGAGAGGGGGAAGTAGTTGTAGGTGAAGCCCTGAGCATTAGGTAGGGTCAGATTATGAAGAAGCTTAGACTTGGTCCTCTAGACCAGCGACTCCAACTGGGGCAGTCTTAGGATCACCTGACAGGCCTTTCAAGAGTGCAGATGTTCAGGCCTGTCCTCAAGTCCTCTGATTTCCACTTTCTGGAAGTAACGCCAGAATCTTGTTTGTTTGTTGCCCAGGCTGGAGTGCAATGGCGCCATCTCCACTCACTGCAACCTTTGCCTTTGCCTCCTGGGTTCCTGCAATTCTCCTGCCTCAGCATCCTGAGTAGCTGGGATTACGAGCCACCATGTCTGGCTAATTTTTTGTCTTTTTAGTGGAGACAGGGTTTCACTATGTTGGCCAGGCTGGTCTTGAACTGCTGACCTCAGGTGATCCACCCATCTCGGCCTCCCAAAGTGCTGGGATCACAGGTGTGCGCCACTGCGCCCGGACAGAATTTTTGATTTAATCAAGCTCCCATGGCTCTGCTGGCTTGGTAAATTTGAGGATCTCTGCTAAAGGCATTGAGGAGCCCAGGAGATAGAATTCTATGTTTACGTGTTCACGTAGTCATATTTGCATTAGAAAGATACATCTGCCATATTGTGTGCAGGATGTGCTAGCACTTGGAGTATTTGGAGAGTGGCATCGCAGTTGGGGGTTGTGGATCAGGTGAGAGTAGAGGGTGCTTAAACTTAGGCAGTATTGGTGGAAATGGAGATGAGAAGCCATATTTGAGACATGTTTCAGTGCTGGGTTTGACTGCAATTGATGGCCCACAGAATGGGGTGGCTAGAGGCAAGGATCAAACCATCAAGTGAGTATTGGGAGTGTGACTGGGATTGAGCATATGGGAGAGTGAGCTGTAATTCTTAGATTATTAGAAGATACATGAGAAAAAATATCTCAGAGTTTTATGAATACTGAAGATAACCTAGAAAATTAATTGTATGTTGATAATTTAAAGCAAGAATAGTCCTAGGAAATCAATTACAAATTAAAGGAACCAAGGAGACAGTTACTAGGCATCATTTTTTTATTCAAGTGAAAGATTATCTCTGTTAACTGAAAAATGGAAAGAAACAAATCAGATACTCAGTAGACCCACAAAGGCAAAAGTTGCAAGTTAAATTTAGAGCGATAAATCATCTGTTATCCTTACAGCACTTAGAGATTTGCAACTAAGAATTAAAGCATAATGACATTTAAACAATTAGTGTAATTATTAATAATATGGATTAGTAACTTTACCCTAAATCTATTTGTGGGAAAATATTTTTCTGATTTGATATCCCTGGGATGTGCTGGCAGCATTCTTATAGTGACTGCGTGCCATTAAAACGCATCTTCGTTATTTCATTACACTTGCTAAATCATAAGAGGCTATCCATCTATTTTTGTACCTTTTAATCTTGGTATTTAAACATATAAGAATGCTATTAAAATGGTTTGATTTCGGTTTTAATGTGTTCTTTGAAATTTATTTCTAATAACCAAGACTTTTAAGAAGCTCAAAATGCTCCTTTTGGGATAGGAAATGAAGGAAGTTAATACGATTCTGGGAGAATGGATACTGGGCACATATAACAGCATAACAGCAACAAAAGTTAAATTATAATTATTTTTAAGTTTTCATAGCTCAAAAACACATATTTGCTATTTTTGAGGAGGATAGAAAAAATTTTGATTGAGGAGATAGGAGATAGCTAATCACATTACTGTACTATAAAATTGTTACCGTATTTTAAAATATTTTGAAAAAATTAACAAAAGAATTAAAAACTGTGATTTAAATGTCATCTATTTAAATATAATGTTATACTGTTTGGAATGGTTTGTAATTTTGAAATTTAATTAGCCTCTGAGAGACCCATTAAAAATTCCATGAAGGAGACATTTTTTAGGATGGTTATGACCACAAAATAAAAAGACTCCTAGAATTTGCTTACGGCCGACCAGCATAATGAAAAGTCTTAGAAATCACAGTTATACAAAGGTTGGTGAATTATATGAATTGGTTACATGATTAAATTAAATCCTTATATTCTTTAAATATTATCCTTATATTCTTTATTGATTTGATCACGATATAAACATTTACATTTAGATAATTAAACTAATTTTACAACAACATTTTGTGTTTTAAAGGATATACTTACTATTTTTCCATCGATTGATTGATTGACTGATTGAGACAGAGACTTGCTCTGTGGCCCAGGCTGGAGTACAGTGACAGGATCTCTGCTCAGTGCAACCTCTGCCTTTTGCATTCCAGGATTCTTGTGCCCCAGCCTCTAGAGTAGCTGGGATTACAGTTCCACACCACCACGCCCTGGCCAACATGGCAAAAACCCACCCCTACTAAATCTACAAAGTAGGGGTAGGTTTTTGCCATGTTGGCCAGGCTGGTCTTGAATTCCCAATCTCAGGTGATCTGCCCTCCTCAGCCTCCCTCATTCCTGTAATCTCAGCACTTTGGGAGGCCGAGGCAGGCAGATCACCTGAGGTCAGTAGTTTGAGACCAGCCTGGGCAACACAGCGAAACCCCATCTCTACTAAAAATGCAAAAAATTAACCAGGCAAGATGGCATGTGCCTGTAATCCCAGCTACTCCGGAGGCTGAGGCACAAGAATCGCTGAATGCAGGAGACAGAAGTTGCAGTGAGCCGAGATTCCCCCATTGCACTCCAGCCTGGGCGGCAGAGCAAGACTCCATCTCAAACGTATTTTGTAATCTTCAAAATTCTGTCAGTGCAATTGACAATGTGGGTATCATGTCATTATTTCAAGCTCTGTGCTTGAAATAAATAGGATGTCATTATTTCAAGCTCTGTTGCGTCAGTTAGATGTTGACAGCAGTGAGGATGGGAGGAAACTTGCAGTGAAGAAAGGATTGTGGGCAGGAAGCTGGGGCTGGCAGGAGAGACTGGGTTTTCAGATGTCAGCTCTCCGACTTCCCCAGCTGTCTCATGGGCAGTGTATGTTTTGTCTTCAGATTGTTTTATGACAGCTTTGATCTAAACTTTGATTAAACAACAACAAACATTTCTATCAACATTGTTAAAATGTCTTTATACATTTACTGAACTTCTGCCTTCATTTGCTGTTTTACAAAATACAAATCTACCTTCCTTAATTCTTTTTTTCTCAGTTATAAGCAAGCCTTAACTCACATGTTCAATAGAAACTTGCAACTTTTCTTAGATTTTATAGTCATATTCATCAGAGACCAAATGAGTTATTCTAAGAGAATGTCATTTTAAAACACCTGTGTCTTTCATAATTTATGGAGGTCAAAGTTAAGTTTTATAGTGTCTCTAGATGAAACGAGTCATTTAGTTAATATGCTCATGATGGCTCAACCTTTTCTTTAATGCCGGCTGCATTTTATTACTTTACATGAAGATACAAATGAACTTCGTCTATTAAGATCCCCACTTCTCCCTCAGAGGATATATTGTTGTGTTTAGTGATTTGCTTCTAATAGGCCACTGGGGGAAGTGATGGGACCCAGGAATGAGTTATTCAATCTTAGAATCAGTAAGAAGGAGACTTCGGAGAAGATGTAGAAACCCCACTCAGGTGTCTAGTGAGGAAACGATGAATGGGCTGCAATATTGTGATTCTGCATCTGCCAAATGTAACAGCTTCATGATTTGAATTATTCAGTCCATTGGATCTATGTACTCCTCATATATTATTGCTCCTAAAAGAAATCTGGTTTATTGCATGTGAATGTGCAATGTCAAATTTTATTCCATGGCATTTGAAAAAAAGAAAAAAAAAAGTAGATCCACACCAAGGGAAGAAAAACTCATATTTTTATTTACTATAGCCATAAAACTGAACTGTTACACTTTGGCAAACTCTTGCTTTTCACTTTCGTAATGACAGGAGAAAAGCAGAAATACAGAATCGCTCCCCCAAGCTATACAACTAATACATTCTAAGAATCTAATCTCTTAGCCTCTAGCACTACTGCCATTTTCCCTGAAGAATGGCAATATTCCTTATTACTACCTGTTTACATCTAGGGGTGTTATGAAGATTAATGAGATCACTTAAATGCTTTGGGTTGCTCAAAGCATTGCCCTGTTAGGGAGACTGACCCTACGTACAACATTTGGTTAGCATTTCCAGTTGGCCAGGAGCCAGAAGCATTACTCCTTCGTGTTGGAAGGGCTGGTGGCCTTTCTCGTGAACCTCACATATATTGTTTTCCCTCCTCTGTGCTCACACAATTGCAAGATAAAGTGGTTGCCTCTACTGTAATACCCTGGAGGACAGCCACTTGCAGGGTTCCATAGATCTTACTTTAGTGTTTGAGTGGCCCAACATCAGGGAATATCAATTTCTTACTCCTTTAGAAGATTTTCTTTCTTTTTGTAACCTTTAACTTCATAGGTCATTGACCTAAACTGTGATGGATCAAGCTGTCTTGAGAGATTTCAGGTCCCTCATGTTGCCAACTGGTTTGGAATTTTTCCTACAGTAAAAATGTATTTGGAGTTGTATGTGGGGCCAAGTAGTTTGAGGAAAGGAGTTTAAGAATAGCAGAATCCACACTGTATTTTGTCAGATTCCTAGGTTCTTGGGATGTGGTTAGGGAATTCCACAGATGTTTTACTTATGGTTTGTCTTCTAAAGTATTGTTTAAAATAACTGAAAACTGTAATAAATAAGGTGAATACTAAACTGTTTATGTAGTGAGGCATTTGACTACTTGGGTTTTACACAGACCGTAGTTATTTATTAAACAAATATTGAGGCCTGATATGGTGGCTCATGCCTGTAATCCCAGCACGTTGAGAGACTGAGGCAGGAGGATCACTTGAGCTCAGGAGTTCAAGACCAGCCTGGCCAACATGTTGAAACCCCATCTCTATCAAAACTATAAAAATTAGCCAGGAATGCATGCACATGAATGTTCATTGCAGCACTGTTTACCATAGCAAAGACCTGGAACCAACCCAAATGCCCATCGATGATAGACTGGACACGGAAAATGTGCCACATATACACCATAGAATATTATGCAGCCACCAAAAATGATGAGTTCATGTCCTTTGTAAGGACATGGATGAACCTGGAAACCATCGTTTCTAGCAAACTGACACAAGAACAGAAAATCAAACACCGCATGCTCTCACTCATAGGTGGGTATTGAACAATGAGAACACATGGCCACAGGGAGGGGAGCATCACACACTAAGACACCTCCTGCTACTGAGCATGAAGTGGATGTGCTGGGGGCGCCCCACAACCCTGCTCCCCCGACATCCACCGTGGTTCACATCCGCAGCGGGACCTCCGTGCCTGACCATGTGGTCTGGTCCCTATTCAACACCCTCTTCGTGAACTCCTGCTGCCTGGACTTGATAGTGTTTGCCTACTCCGTGAAGTCCAGGGACAGGAAGATGGTTGGCGACCTGACTGGCACCCAGGCCTATGCCTCCACCGCCAAGTGCTTGAATGTCTGGGCTCTGATTGTGGGCATCATCATGACCATTCTGCTTATCATCATCCTAATACTGATTTTGCAAGACTATCAATAGATCAAGAGAAATCATCTGGACCATGGAACCTGCTCTGCCCGTGACCTGTCTTCCATGTATTCAACTTTGCATTCCTCGCCCTGCTCCGGAGCCAAGTCCTGTATCTGCCCTTTATCCTCACACACTTTTCTACAATGACATTCAGTAAAGTGCATGTGTTCCTGGTTTAAAAAAAGAAAGCAAAATTAAAAAAAAAAAACCTCAAAAAAAAATTAGCCAGGAGTGGTGGCACGTGCCTGAAATGCCAGCTACTAGGGAGACTGAGGGAGGAGAATTGCCTGAACCCAGGAGGCGGAGGTTGCAGTGATTTGAGATCACATCATTGCACTCCAGACAGGGCAAAGAAGCGAAAATTCATCTCAAAGAAACAAAACAAAAAAACCCCATAAATATTTAAAAGCACCTATGAACTCTGTGACTTAAAAATCAAACTAAAAGCAACAAAAGTTTAACCAATAAACTGTCATGAATATACACATTGTATAGATGTTGATGCTGTGTAAGATTATAAATAGTTCTGATAACTGGAGTTTTAAAATTTTTAAGAAAGCTTCATCAACTGATTTTATTAACAAATATATAGGTACTTGTTAAATGAATTACACTATTAAAGAAGTATTGTATCTATTTTGTATGTTGAGGTTTCATTTAAGATAATTTTGAAATAAGTTACTGAGTTTTGAAAAATAACACATGAAATATCCTTCTCAGGAAATTATTTAAATTTTCCATAATAAAAAGATTTTTTGTTAGATGGCGGTTTATTCATAGAACTTTGTTAGGCATTGTGTATATCTAAACATCATCACAGTCTTTTGGGAATTTTTATTATTTAAATATATTGGCATAATTGTATCATTTCTTTCTTTTCCTAAGTTAAGAAATAGGGCTATTCTTAGAATCAGATACAGGCAGTAAGTTATTCAGGCAAAATAAAAAGGGAGAAAAGAGGTGCCATTTGAACAGCCAGACCCCTCAGCTCAGACTCTTCTCCTCATGGGGAGAAGCCATGAGGAGCCATGATCACAGCCAGATCACAGTCCCAGAGATGAAAATTGATGGCGTAGATCAAAAGTTTGCTATTAGCAGAACTAAGACTTGAATCTTCTTAAAATGATTTTGAAATGTTCCTGTCAATGACCAATGAAGATATGAAACACTTGCAGCATAAGAACTGTTACTGCCTATGTTTCTGTGTGTGTGCATGTTTAGTGCAGGTGAAACCAGGAAGGGGACATTGAATGACTAACTGGTGAGGCCATGAGACACAATGGGACACAAGGGACACCAGGACCAGGGGTCTTGTTTCCAGTCCCAGGATTTTCTCTGAAGCCTTACAATCTTGGACAAATCACCCAGTACTTTTTAATTTATACAAGTTTCCTCATCTATAAATTTAGGGCGGTTAAAATAATCACCTATAAAATAATTATCTGTAAAATTGAGAGTGGGTTAAAATAATCAATTGTTATCTTGGAACTCTGAAAATAATACAAAAAGAAAAGTTTAAATCCTCTGGTGCTTTCCTTCCTGGGGTTGTGGTTATGGTGGTGGTGGTGGTGATGATATTTCATTGTAACTGTGGTATTTTTCCTAGTAAATGTGCCCCTCTTTCCTCTCTGCCCCTTTCTTTCACCTACTGAACACCTCTGCCATACTGATTTGATATTACTGATGAGATAATTGGAAGGACACTATAGTGCTCAGGTATTTGGAAGGAGAAGAGGTATAGATGGTTGAAATCCACTAGCAATGTTCCTGGAGAGGAGGGGTACCTTTACAACCTGTTGGAACTTGAGAAGCAGGAAAGTAATGATCAGAAGAGTCATGTTTGCTTAGGGAGATGTGGACTGAGAATGTGGCATATTTGTTATTATAAGCCAATATCCCCTCCTATTGAAAAACACCTGAAAGCTGGAACCAGGTGTTTCGGATAATGATCTCTGTGCCCCTTCCAGTCTCCTCCGCAAGTAGAGAGAGGTCTTTAGCTGACCTGCACAGAGCTCTACAGAGCACTGCAGACTCTGCTATCATCTTTTCTCAAAGAGCCTGAGGGCACTTCCAGCTCTTCCTTTGTGTATGAGAGGTTCTTTTCAAGAAAGTTCCTGGAGACACATACCATAGTGTGAACATACATGTGCACATGTATGTGTGTGAGTATGCAAGAGAGACAGAGAGAATGAACCATGGGATGTCACCAAAGCGCCTAGGTAATTCATTTGCTATATGAATGAGTTTCTTTTATTGGAAATATTTACTGAAGAAGTCTTTCTTAAAATTGCCAGTGGGTTGAATAGGACAACTGGATTCCAGAACCAGTGACAAAATAAACATAAAAGTTGGCACTATTAATTGATGCTTACAATGGGTCAGACTTCATTCTTAATGTTTTTCTTAGATTTAAACCTCACAACAACCCTAGAGGATAGGTTTGATTATTAGCACCATTTTACAGATGAAAAGACTAAGGCATAGAGAAATTTTGCTTACTTCCTGAGATTGCATAGAGGCAGAACTCTAGCTTTTGCATGGATATTCTTAACCACCAGGCAATACTACCACCCATACCAGAGGGGCAGCCTCCTGAAACCAGAAAGTCCATGGGAAAATATGTGAGAGTGGGGAGCTGAGCTGCTCATAGAGGCGATGGGTGTACAGAGGCCAGTAATTTCCCTGTTGCCACTGTGTCCTACTCTGTTCTCACACTAATATAAAGAAATACCTGAAACTGGGTAATTTAGAAAGAAAATAAGTTTAATTGATTCACAGTTCTACATGGCGGGGGAGGCCTCAGGAAACTAGTAATCATGGTAGAAGGTGAAGGGGAAGCATGCTTGGGCCTTCTCACATGGTGCCGGGAGAGAAAAATGCAAGCAGGGAAATGCTGATGGTTATAAAACCATCACACCTCATGAAACTCACTCACTATCATGAGAACAACATGAAGCAACCTGCTCCCATGATCCACTCACCTCCTACCAGGCCCCTCCCTGGACACATGGGAGTCATGGGGATTAAAATTTAAGATGAGATTTAGGTGGGGACACAGCCAAACTGTATCACACTGGTAAGTCCCTCTTCTGAAAGACGTGTGTGTGTGTGTGTGTGTGTGTTTGTAGATTTCTCACTTCCCATAGAGGAGGTGTGCTCGTTTCTGTGTCACATTGGGTGACAGCTTGGCAAATGCTGAAATGCCAGTCAGCCTCCAGTGGCACCTTTGGGCTGCTTCAACATACTCTTCCATATATGCACCAAGTTCACTTTTGTTTCTCTGAAAATGACTTTCTGTTGTTGGGACAGGATCTCTCTCTCTTGCCCAGGAAGGAGTTCGGTGGCAGGATCATGGCTCACTGGAGCCTTGACCTCCCAGGCTCAATTGATCCTTCCACTTCAGCCTTCTGAGTAGCTGGGACTACAAGCAGGCATGACTCCAGTTGGCTAATCTTTGTATTTTTTCTTTTTTTGTAGAGATGGGGTCTCCCTCTGTTGCCTAGGCCTGTGTAGAACTCCTGGGCTCAAGTGATTAGCCAACCTTAGCCTCCACAGTGCTGGGATTACAGGCCAGTGTGCCTGGCCTGCAGCTGACATTTCTGTTGGATACCTAGACTTCTCATGGCACCGACTGAATCAAAAGATTTTCTGTAATTTTCCCTCCCCTCAAAGGTATCCTTAACCTGATTCTGAAAAAAAAAAGACTGTAGCATTTTAATAAAGAACAGGGGAGCTTTTCCTGAAATGGCTTTGTGATGGAGGTGGCATGTGCCAATCAGTGCTCCGGGGAGCTTCTCTCAGGGTATATCAGAAAGGAGACTAGAAAGGTGGAAGGAATGGAGTGAAGAGACAGTTGCTGTGGTTTGTGGGAGGCAGTTTTCACTCAGTTGAGAGATGCGGTACCTCCATGTTAGTGGTCATATTGTGTGAAACCTGAATGCCCAGGAGGCAATGCCTGGATTCGTGAGACTACCTGAAGGTGAGACTAGTCCCCACTTCATCCTGCAGCTGTGGGTGTACATGAGCTCCTGGATGTCAGCTTCCTTGGAGGCTTTGTCCTCCCTAACTCTGTCCATAACCATATGGATGTTTCTTGGTCATCTCAACGTTATGCCCTTGGGTTGCTTTGGCTGTCACTTGGCACTGCTACTGGGACATGTGTCCAGCCCCTCCACGATAGTAAACATAATCATTTATATCTTACTGGTGTCGTAAAATTTCTCTTTGTGCCATAGAAATGACCTTGGACGAGTTCATTAAAATAATACCCTTGGCTTCTTGGAGATTTTGCCTCATGCTCATTTGCATCTTAGAGTTTGCTTTCCATTATATGCCAACATCTACTTGCCATTATTATGTGCACTTAGACTGGCTTTCTCCTCCCTTCCTCTTTGGGGTGCTGCTGGTACACACTCCCAGCCCCCATCTTCCCATTTACATGATGCCAGGGTTTCAGTTAGAGGTTGAAGCAAAGCATACTGAGGGAGGTTATGAGTTGTTTTTGAAACTTACAACACTAGATTCCAAAGCCTGGTGTAACTAATATGTATCTTTTTTCCCTGTGCTCTACTGATCTCCATTGTATATTTCACTGTTATTCCCCTTCATTGTTGAAATTGATAGTTTTCTTTTCTTTGATTTCCTGTTTTACACTTGGGGAGTGAAACTGACTCTTTGAAGCCCTTGATGTCATCAGTTTCCTTTGGGCAAACTGCCATATTCATATTCCTTTTTCTTTTTTTTTTTTAAACCAACTCACATACACTGCAAATTTTATTATTTATTTATTTATTTTTGAGACAGGGTCTCACCCTGTCACCCTAGCTGGAGTGCAGTGGTGCAATCACAGCTTACTGCAACTTCCACCTCCTAGGATCAAGGAATCCTCCTGCCTCAGCCTCCTGAATAGCTGGGACTGTAGGCATATGCCACTATGCCTGGATAAATTTTGCATTTGTTGCACTCAGGTTTTGCCATGGTTCCCAGGAGCCTGGGAACCTCCGCCTCCCAGGATCAAATCATCCTCCTGCCTCAGCCTCCCAAAGTGCTGGGATTACACATGTGAGCCACCATGCCCGGCCCAAGTTCATATTTCTAAACTTTTATTACATGCTGAATCTATCCGACAGGGTAGAGTACTGTGAACCTTAGACCATTGTTTGAATTCAAACTCTTAATTTAGGTGATGATGAAAAACAAAGACCTATGAGGAATAGTTAGTTTTACATCATCTTGCTTAAGTGAAACTCAGTTTCAGACTGGAATGCCCATGTCTTTTTATTTATTCCATATAGAGCAAGCGAGCAACTTAATGCCTTACACTTACCATAGTCATGTACACATGCACCCCACTTATTTGTTAGCTTTCTCACCAATCTCACAGGTGTATTTGTTGACATCTTGAATGCCTCTTTGTACTCTAAGTTCCAAGGAAAGCTGTGCTAAACATATCCTTAGAAGGAAGATGCTTTGGAAGCCAAAATCATTATTTTATTTTCTTTGTTCTTGAAATTTTTATAAACTCTAACTTTTTGGAATCTATTGAAAATAAAACTGCTCTCTTTTTGTATTTTGTAGAAACTACCTCTTCAGGTTACAGCTTGAGGATCTGTCCCTTATCCAGGTAGGTGCCATTTATTTTTCTCAAGCTTTCATTTTCCATCCCAATTAACTCACTGTTTGAGGGGATGAAGAAAGATGCATGTAAAGGTGTTAATCCAGGCTGAGCAGGGGCTCATTTCCTCAGCCGGTCAGGCCGCAGGACTAAGGCTGCCCTACTTGTTAAGAGTCATCACCTCCCTTAATTCCCAATTAGCCTCCTCCTCCTGAAAGGTGGCCCTCTTTGTTCCATGGATGTGATCTTGATTTATTCTTCCTTAGATGAGAGACCATTCAAGGAACATTACCTCAAAGCCTGGGCACATTCCTTTTCCCACAGTTACAGCAATCTTCAGTTATTCAGTTTGATGCATTCAGGCATTATATTATTGTAAAACAGCTTTGTTTTCTCTTTATAATTATTTTAACATAAATATGACTACATGGGTTAAAAGCTACCTATAGCAAGGAATAAAAGGTAATAGATCAAAATGTAATTTACCTACTTGTATTGTTGCAGTTTGGACAATGGGCCTGAGATCTTGTGCTTGAATGAAATATTTATTTTAGTAGCAGATCTGTGCCACAAAAGCCCAGTCTTCCCTCTAGACTTTGAAAAGGGTCTCCTAGAAAATGAGAGATTTAAGACACAAACACTTTCTTCACCAAGATTCTGAAACTCTCTATGGACTATGCCAGAATCTTGGTCCTGTGTAGAATTTGGAAAAAGTTCATCAACCAATTTTAGTCTCACTCTCTTGTACTAGAGCTCTAAGAGGTGACTGGGGAGGATTTTATGTTATTTTATTCTCTCTTTAATGCTGCTACTTGCAAACATTCGGGGAACTTCAGAGCTAGGTTTTAATATTAGATCTATCTTTTATTCAGCAGGGTCTTAATATCAGCCAATTTCACAGTCAAAGTTAATACTGATAAAAAGCAAAGGCTTGGAAGACACATTGACGTGACTTGTGATCTAGTTTCATGACTTCTAGTAATTATTGGTTCCTCATCTGTGAAATGGCCACAAGTCGCTACCAGTTCCATATTAGCATGGTGAAAAATAAGTAAGACATTCAAGAGATAAAACATAGCAATTTATGAGAAATTTTTAAATATTTTTTATTTTTAAAAGTGATAATAAATAATAAATCTCCATTGTAATAGTTTTATCACAATTGACAATAATGTCTTTCCACTGCAATTTAGTATATAACTGGAGTCTTTAATTGAGCTAATTGAGTGGTAAAATTATGAATTTATTTTTAAGGAATCAGAATGATCAGCAATTTGAAGACATTATCTTTAGTGAAATAAGCCAGGCACAGAAAGACAAATACTGCAAGATCTCACATAGATGTGACATCCACAGAAGACAAACTCTTAGGAGCAGAGAGTGTACTCGGGGTTTCCAGGGGCCCAGAAGGTCAGGGAAGGTCTTAGGGAGATGTTGGTCTAAGGACAAATAGTTCCAGTTAGAGAAAGGAATAAGTTAAAGAGATCCATTGTATGACACGGTGACTATAGCTAATAACAATGTACTATATGCTTGAAAATTACTGAGAGAGTACATTTCAAATCTGCTCACTCCCCAAATAAATAAATAAATAAATAAATATATAAGTAAAGTATGCGAGATACCTGCATCTTAATTAGCTTGATTTAGCCATTCCACAATGTATGCATATGTCAAAGTCATGTTATACACCATCAATATATAAAATTCTTGCCAATTAAAAAAAGAATGATCAATAATTTAATGAAAATGCCATATTAAATATTATTTTAGATAGTCTTTTATAAAAAGTATATCTTCTGGTAGATAGAAACTACATGTTATACTCATTTTGTTTCTCATGGCATATATACTCTCTGGCATATCACGTGTTAAAAAATGAGCTGTGTAGATCTGTGTGTGCACAAACACATATTGACATATACACATTCGTTTCCAAGTTTGCTAGCTCTGTCAGCTGAGAGGGTTTAGAAATGCTGTCTCGGTAGCAATGACACACTTGACACACATTACTCTGTTTCTAAACTTAGTTCTCCATGAAAACAAATGAAGGAGTTTTTGAGAAGAGACTTAATCAAGAGTTGGGCAGGGAAAACGCAGATAAGACTGGAAGAGCTTGTTGTTTCACAAATTAAGGAAAATATTAAAAGAATGATGAGGGTGTGTCACAAGAAACTAGGAGCTAGCTTGAAGTGGACGCACTGAAGAAATCTGGGACAATTTGATGGTTAAAATAGATAATACTGGTAGCTAATTATAAGACATTGAATAACATAAGAATCCATGAGTAGATACCAACATGAAATATAAATGAATGGATAAATATGGCAGAAGGGACTGCTATTTCTTTTTGTAAAATGCCAACTAATAAGTATTGCAAGAATAATTTAGTTAGAAGATTTGGCAACCATTATACTAAAAATTGATTTAGGCAAAAGTGATCAATGGATGCTAAAATTTATGGGTCGGAGTTTGATAACAACCAGGATATTTATTAACATACAGTCTTAAAAGAGATAAAACATGGAAATTTATCAATAATTTGTTATTGTTTTTGATGTGTAAGTGCTAATAATAAATAATAAATCTCCATTGTAATAGTTTTATCACAATTGACAATAAATTATCTTTCCACTGCAATTTAGTATATAACTGGAGTCTTTCTTCGAGCTGATTCAGTGGTAAAATTATGAATTTACTGTGACTCAAAATTACCTATTGACATATAACTTACCTATATGATACGTATTCATTACAACAGGAAAACTTACAACTTGTTAGTAAAGAAACCTAGCAAATAGCCCATAATCAAATAGTCAAAGGTCAAGGGTAACTTCAGCAGCAATGGGACAGAGTCCAGTGATTTGATGCACGGAGAGTACAGCAAAATGTCCTTGATATTTCAGCCAAAAAACATAACAAAAATTATAACTAACAACCTTCTTATGAGGAACCATCAGAGCCACTGGGGGACATCCTACAAAAAAGTGGCCTCTACCCTTCAGATATCACAGAGTCATGAAAGGTATGCAAAGAATAAATAATAAAAAGCCATTCTATAATAAATTTGAACAAATAGACATGGGGATCAAATGCAATACTTGACCCAAATTGAATCTTGGAACAGATATATTTTTCCTTACTCTAAAGGACATTACTTGAACAACTGGAAAACTTCAAACGTGTGGATAAGATGGCATAAATGTATTAATATTTGTCGATTTTGATAACTGTGATGTAGAAGAATGTCATTGTTTTTAGAAAAACATGCTAAAATATCTAGGGGTAATGGATATCATTTCTGCAACATATCAAAATGCTTTTAAAGTTGTTATACACATACATACACAGAAGCTATACATGTGTGCAGAGGGAAAACAATAAAGCAAATGGGATACAGTGTTAACAGGGGAATCTAGGTAAAGGGCTTATGAGAGTCCGTTGTGATACTTTTGCAAATTTTACTGACATTATGTCCAAATAAATAGATGCAAAAAATGGGGAGATGTATTTCCATTAACTCGTGTATATATTTTTATGAGGTCAAGGAAACTTACCATACTTTTCTCATCATTGCTTCCCTTTGTCATGGCTGCCTTCACTGGAAATCAGGTTGAGGTTATTGATGGGATCGATGAGCTATTATTGAAGTGTAGAAGCCCATCAGTGTCACTGCTTGGTGACAGCTTAGTCTACTGACATGGCACCACACAAGATGACAGCAACTTTCTGAACTGTGGTTTTGAAAATGCAGCTGTAATAACAGAGGTCAGACTGCTGTACCATTAGTGGAAAGCAGGACAGTTCGGCTTTTTCATATTCTATGACTGTATATGCAGTTCTGTAGCCTCCTGTTTACTTAGCCTGGAGAGAGGAAGCCGGCAATTCTTCATGACACACATTTTTTTTTAAAAAAATATAGCATGTCTTCAGCAAAGAGGTCTTGTTGGTTTCTATGAATATTTTATTTTAATTTACATGACAAAGTTCTGAAGGGTAACAAAAAGGAATAAGCACACTGGTAGACAAAGGGTGTTATAACACTGCCATCTGATAGAAGCACCATGTCAGCCAATGGGTAATTTAATATGATCTGCTAGGCACACTGACAAAAGTACAAAGAAGCTAGGGAAATTACTACTAATAGTGTATTTTACTACCTCTTTATATCCAAAATATTTCAACTTCAGCATACAATCATTATAAGAAATTAATGATCTGTTGCACTTTATTTTTTTGGAACTCAGTGTTCAAACTCCAGTGTGTGTTTTATACTTCCAGCACATTTGGATATGGACTAGCCAGAGTTGAAGTGTTCCGGGTGGCTGGTGCACTCCATTGGAAAGCAAAGTTTTAGATAATAAATGACAACGTTTGACTTGTACGCCTTCAATTATTGCACAGAAAGATTGTTTTCTATTGCAAATCACAAGGGTTGATTTGTATCTCTCAGGTTAATATTTTTCTCCTTTTCTGTCTCCAAAGTTAAAAATTATTGTTTAAATGTGGCAAAATGATAAAACTGAGATCAGGGAGGACAACCAATTTCAAGAACACTGGAGACAATGAGAACTGAACGTGGTTCACCAGTAGCCTTTATTTATTTATTTATTAAATATTTTATTACATTTTAGGTTTTGGGGTACATGTGAAGAACATGCAGGATTGTTGCATAGGTACATACATGGCAATGTGGTTTGCTGCCTTCCTCCCCACACCTATAGCTGACATTTCTCCCCATGTTATCCCTCCCCAACTCCCCACCCCCTGCTGTCCCTCCCCTAGTTCCCCTCATCACCTCAGTGTGTGATGCTCCCCTCCCTGTGTCCATGTGTTCCTATTGTTCAACACCCACCTATGAGTGAGAATATGCGGTGTTTGATTTTCTGTTCTTGTGTCAGTTTGCTGAGAATAATGGTTTCCAGGTTCATCCCTGTTTAACACTAGACCAGGCTTCCTTGAGTCCTGCCCATCTGCGGGACAGAGATCGACCTCCAGATGGCGGTTTC